CAAACAAAAAAAAAAAAGAAACACTTGCTGGGGGCACCTAGCTGGCTCAGTCGGTTAAGCGGCTGACTTTGGCTCAGGTCATGATCTCTCGGTCCATGAGTTCGAGCCCCGCGTCGGGCTCTGTGCTGACAGCTCAGAGCCTGGAGCCTGTTTCAGATTCTGTGTCTCCCTCTCTCTGACCCTCCCCTGTTCATGCTGTGTCTCTCCCTGTCTCAAAAATAAATAAAACATTAAAAAAAAAAAGCACTTGCTGGATATGAGTAGGGGCATGGCAGTTTTAACTTTCAGAGAGCAGTTTATTAATGAGTTGGGAATAAAAACTTGACTTTAGAGATTTAAGGAGGGTAGGAGGGGATAGGAATGAGAATCAGTGACTCTGGATCACTCATCCAAGGACTGGGATGAGAGAAGAAGTGAAATGGATGTTAGGTACAGAGAGACAGTAAGTAGGGGTCCAGTAAGGGTAATTATTATTCCTTGTGAAGTTAGAAAATTTTTTCATTGTCGCCCTTAATAAGTGACATTTCATAAAGGCGGTTTAATTTTGAAAGTGCTGTATGTAAAGTTCCATGTTTTGGCAAGTTGATGTCTTTCCAAATGCAGAGAGCCATAATTCAGGTGGGGGAGATCTAGGGTCTACAAGATGCTGATTCTGTGACATCAAAATTAAGACAAGTACACAGTAGGTCCTTGAATGAAGGTCCTTTAAGGGGGGGTGGACTATAATTTGGTAAAGAGAGAGGATTTTTAGGGGGAAGGAAAAACATAGTATGAGAATTGTATATATGGAGAATGTGAAACATAAGGGGAAATCTAAATATGTTTCAGTGTTGCAAAAAGTAGATGATTTTCCAGGGGACAGCTTAGATGCAGAATTATTTTATTAGTCTGTTGTTCATATACCAGATTGATAGTAGCCTTTTCCAACGAGCTTCTAGGGGTGCCTGGGTAGCTCAGTTGGTTAAGCCTCCAACTCTTGGTTTTTGCACAGGTCACGATCTCATGGTTCTTGGTTCAAGCCCTGTGTCAGGCTCTGCAATGACAATGCAGAGCCTGGTTGAGATTCTCTGTCTCTCTCACTTTCTGTCCCTCCTTCCAACCACCCCCCCCCCCATTGTGTGCACGCACTCTGTTTCTCAAAAGGAATGTAAAAAATAAAAAAAAAACCTAGCTTTTAAAAATTATAAAAGTAGTATTTGTTCCTGTTTTTTAAATTCAAGTTTAGTATTAAAGTAAATCTTTGCTTCCTTCCCCAACCGCCCCCCCCTTGCCTTTTACTCAAGGATAACCATTTTTGTGTTTCTTACATATTCTTCTGAAAATGTTTTTTTTTTAATTTTTTAATGTTTATTTATTTATTTTGAGAGACAGAGACAGAGACTGAGATAGAGACAGCAAATGGAGGAGGGGAGAGAGGGAGAGAAAGAATCCCAAGCAGACTCCATGCTGTCAGCACAGAGCCCAACGCTGGGCTTGATCCCACAAACTGCAAGATCATGACCTGAGCTGATATCAAGAGTCAGATGTTTAACTGAATGAGCCACCCAGGTGCCCCTGTTGTTTTGTTTTGTTTTTTAATGTTTATTTATTTATTTTTTCAGAGAGAGAGCAAGTATGAGTGGGGGAGGGGCAGAGGGGGAGAGAGAATCCGAAGCAGGCTGCAGGCTCTGAGCTGACAGCAGAGAGCCCGATCCGAGGCTTGAAGTCACGAACCATCAGATCATCACCTGAGCCCAAATCAAGAGTCTCACGCTCAACCTGACGAAGCCACCCAGGCACCTTCTTCTCAAAATGTTAAAACGTATTTTTATAAACATGGTTCATTTATACTCATCCTGAATCTGCATTTTTTAATTGGTAATATATCCTTGGGATCTTTCCATATTGTCACGTTTGAGTCACCTTATTTTAAAGTTCGTAGTGTTCAATAATATGGATGTACATTACTTGTCTGCTGAACTACACAAAAACCTTATGGATCTGGCATAGTGTGTTAATTTTTTTTAATTTTTTTTAACGTTTATTTATTATTGAGAGAGCATGAGCATGGGAGGGGCGGAGAGAGGAGGAGACACAGAATACAAAGCAGGCTCTAGGCTCTGAGCCATCAGCACAGAGCCTGACGATGCGGGGCTCGAACTCACACCCGCAGGATCATGACCTGAGTCGAAGTCAGATGCTTAACCAACTGAGCCACCCAGGCACCCCATTTTTTTTAAAAACTTTAACAAAAAATTTTTATTATGGTACATACGTTTTCCACAGGATGATGTGTGTCGTGTGTATTTTTTTCTGTACGCGCATTTCCACGTTCCTCACCTACAGAGATGATAAAATCCTGGGGTTGGAAAGGACTTTAAAGGTCGTCTCGGACATGCCGCGTTCATCCCCTTTGTACAATACCTGCTTCCCCAGGAGGAACGGTCCTTGTTGGAAGTGGGCATTTGCTCACTATTGCTAGAGGTGGCCTTACCATTTGACATGCTTTCATTTGCAAGGAGCAGAACGCCGGACTTTGAGGAGCCTAAACAGCGAGGGCAGTGAATTACCTCACACACAGGGAATCCAGAGGTCGATGGTTGCAGGTTTGGCTGATGAAGCCGCTCGGTTTCTCTACCTCATGTAGTTTTTCCTCACAGTTTTCCCAGATCATATTCCTGGACATCCAACTTCAGGCGGTTGTGTTCAAAGGTGGCTGGACGGAAGGGCAATTCTTGCCCGCACATCAGGAAGGAGACCTTGTCCCAGAAGCCCCTTGTCGGACCTCCCCTCCCCTCCCACTGGCTAGGCCATGTCACGTGATCAAGCTACGGTTGCGCAGTAGGCTGGGAAAGCGAGTGTCCGCCATGTTCTGCGTCTGAAGAGATAAGACGAGTGTTCTCAGCAGGTTGAAAGGGGTTGGGGCCGATATTGAGGGACTCTAGAAGTGGCTAGAGTGGCCAATATCACTTTTGGATAGAGTAAGAATCTATTTCTTGGTAACCCTACTTTGGGTGTTAGTTAAGTTCTATAAGCTATCCTTAAAGAACAACGAAATGAGTAGAAAGCTGAATGTGTCCCTCCAGTCCCTTCCTCCACGCTCCTTCGCTTGGTCATTTCTGTGCTGTCAAAGTGGAGAAAAATACACGAGATCACGGTTTTCTGTGGCTCAGACTCTTTCCTTGCTTTTTGCTTTGGGCTCTGCCAGCACATTGCTTCCTCAGATTTTTTTCCTTATGGGAATCTCTCGAAATCTAACTGCTGTCATATTTATTGACCCTGCTTTTATTGTGGCATCCCAGCTCCCTGAAATAATAAGCTGGTAGGAACAAACAGGTCATAATGTCTACCAAATAATTTGGATTAGACTTATGTGGACAATTTGTATGTTTGTATCTTTTTAGGTTGATCTGTAGGGATGCTATAAATTTACCTATGTTATGTATCTTTCCTTTCCTTTTCCTTCTTTATCTTCAGACTTTTCAAAGACCCCTGATTTAGAATGGGTGGTAAGTAGGTATGTGATGTGGGAGTCCTTAGCTCTAATTTACATACCAACCTTCATTTCTTTAGTGTATTAGTGTTTAGTGTTTGTGAAGCAGTTATAAGAGTTTGAAAGAAAATATAAATGGTGTGGAAATAAAAGGTCAAGACCTTGGAGCATGTGTGTGTCACTGTCCCCTTGACTTTCTAACTAGGCTGTCTCAAAGTTTTAGAGACTTTTCAAGGATCCATCTCTCTTGGGGTCTGAGGACCTGTGAATCATAATAGGCTTCCCTTTTCTGATTATATTTGGCCTATAATTCTCCAACCCCAGCTCCCCCAAATTTTTAGATAAGACACTATGTGTAAGGATGCTCTTTTTGAATAATGAGCATAGATCTGATTGTTGCATTTTCTAGATGAGAGATTAATGCAGACGGTGTTTACTTGAACATTTTGGACTTATTTCCCCCGATACTGAATTTGTAAAATTATCACCTTTAAAACTAAGCTCAGACTTAATGCCTTCATTTCCTTTTTGCACCACTCTCTGGGTCTGTTTGCCTCCAGTGTGGAAATTACGAAGAATCACAAGCCTTGGGAAATTTAAAACTGGAATCTCATTGGTTTAAAATTTGCAAAATACATTGGTTCAGAGAAAAAAAAAAACGGGCCACTCAACTACTCAAATAACACCATTTTTTGCATGATATGTTCCCTTAAAGGTCACATTATGTGACAAGAACATGGGGTCTGTTAGGGAATAGAAAATAGAAGACTGAACAAAATTTGTAAACATTTGAATAGATTGACAGTGGCCTTACCCCCAACTCCATATGCTTTCCTACATGCCACGTGGATCTAGCTCATGTGTAGTATATAACCGACTATCATTTTATGGTCTGTGAAAGTCCATACCTTTTGTTTTTGGAGCATGTGAGTCTTTTACAAATGTCTCTAGCATATGGCAGGGCAACGGAATATACAAACTGACAGGTAATCTGACTTTTTTGCTAAGCCACACCAGACAGATGCTGTTTGGTCCCTAAACTATTCGATTTCATTTCCCTCTAAGAAGCAGAAGAAACTTAACTACTTATTTCTCAGTGCCTGAAAGGACAAAATCCTTTGTGTATTTTTTTTTTTTTTCTTTTGCCTTGGTAGGCCCTTCAGGTCCAATTTTCCTCTAAGATGATACCCAAAATAACGATAGCAGGGACTTGAGATGTTTGCTTACTTTGAGTACTGAACGAACGGTGAGAAGTATTCCAAAAACAATTGCAGATTTTGGTTGGTGAGAACACTCCTTATCTATTCAGAAGGGCATTCCATTAGTACCTACTTTGAGAAATGCGGCAGGGCTGAGTGACCTTGTACGTTTGGATCCATTCTGAAGACCAGTGGTAGAAATCACTGCCCTTGATTTTACCAAGCTTCCATAGATGTTAGCCTATAACAGAGAAACGTGAAGGGGAGGAAAACCACAAGCCTGCGCGCAAGACAGGTAGACCATCACATTTTCTTTTTTTACACTCTAGAAGTTCACCTGGACCCCCACCGAACATGGTGTCCTGTCGCAGACTGTCAGACAGTGTGCCCTGTTGCATCAAGTGACCCGGGACAGCCCGTACTGGTGGAGTGTCCTTCTTGTCACCTGAAATTCTGCTCATGTTGCAAGGATGCTTGGCACGCAGAAGTCTCCTGTAGAGATAGTCAGCCTGTTGTCCTGCCGACAGAGCACGGGTAAGAAGGGAAATGGCCTTGGGGATTATTCACTGGTTTTCTCAGAAACCCCAAATATGTCTCTTGGCAAAGGAGTTATCTGGTGATGGAATGTAGAGATCAGTCACTTCCCTGCGGAGCTTCCCTGAGAAGCGTCTCAGAATTGGTAAGTTGTTAACAAACAATAACGAAAGAAGAATTTCTAAAGGCAATTTAGGTATTTACCCCTGGAGGATCTTCCAGCCACTGCTGAAATTAGAGCTTGTATAAATTTTGATTTCTCTTTAGGCAGGGAGGCACAGGGACCACTCACTGGTTTTCAGTAGGAAGTCACGGCTTGTCCACAGCCATTTGCCAAGGAGTGCTAGCCACCTGCTAGGGACAGACCTCATTCTTCTTGCTTGCAAAGTGGTGCTGGGATTATTTTCTTACCTGATTATGCTGCCAGCTTGTGAGGTGTGCCAGTCACGTCAAAGAGAGCACAGCAGTAGAAACAGCAGCCCTGCAGGGCAGTGCGGTACTCAATTCCTAGGTCCAAGAGGAAGAGAACTCATCTCTCGATACTTTATGCTCTGAAAAGATGGCACCAAGGTTCAGATTTTGTTACAACGAGCAGCAATTAAATCTGTACCTTTCAGTACTTTTTACGGCAGCAGAAGGGCCCAGAGTGAGAGACCTTTGTGCTTGATCCCTTGCTCTGCTCAAGGCTATGGCTGTTCTGCATCAGTGAGAACAGACGTACCAGTGTTAGGAGTCCAGTTGGCTTACTCACCCTGCACCCTCCGAGTGTGTAGAACGATTCTTCAGGAATAGCAACACTACCTGGCTATGATGCTGGGCTGGAATCTTAGACCAAACAAATCAAGAGGAAAAATAGATCTTCATGCACTTGGCAGGCGTGGACCTTCCTAGCCAGTACCTTCTGCATTTTCACTGCCATGGCAGTAAGGTCTGTGGGTGTCACAGGACAGTGCAAAGATCCCAGAGGAGAGAGGGGTTGAGATCTGACGTTGTCACTTGGTGCCTGTGTGACCTCATGTCAGTCACTCAGCCTCTATGAGTCTGTTTCTCTATTTGCAAAAAAAAGGGGGAGGGTAGGAATTAAAATAGTAACTGTCCCAGTGCTCTATAAGGTTATGGTGAGCACCAGCTCCGATCCTGGATCTAACAACACTGTGTGAACTTGATGTCTCCATGTGCTGGGTGCTGGTTTTAATAAATAGTGGCTGAAGTACAGCGCCGGGCTGAGGCTTCCCTAACCCTCCCACCTCAATTAGCTCCACTTATTTTCTGTGCCCCTTAAGGCTGTGAGCCTGTGTTGACCTATTCATCCATGTGGAGCAGGTCTCTTGAATGATATTGGGCATTTATTTTATTTTATTATTTTTTAAAGATTTTATTTTTTTAAAATAATCTCTTCACCCCGTGTGGGGCTCGAATTTACAACCCCAAGGTTAAGAGTTGCATGTTGTACCGACTAAGCCAGCCAGGCACCCCAGGTGTTTCTTTAAAGTATTGGTCACTGACTCCCTCAACCTCTGCCATTTGTTTGTCTGAACAGATCACTAGATAAGAGGTTTATCTGTGCCATCTCAGATCCTGAGCTTGTGTTTCTCTTGTATAGCGGGCTGCTTGCATTTCTTATTTAGACAGTGTGTGCTCGGGGAATGAAATACTCCAAGTAACGAGTTAAGCCAGGTGTGGAAAATACAATTATATAATTCACTTCAAGCCAAAGATAAATAAAGGTTCTCTTCTGTTTGGAGTTATCTGAATGACTAATAATCTGTGTCTCTCCAATTTTTACCCCCACCCTCTTCCATGGAAGTGAATTCAGCACGGATAAGGAAGGGTTCCCTACCTACCCATCAGGAGCCCCAGGAATTCAGTTGGTGACCATAAAGTGGAATCTAGAAAGGTGTTAGTTAACTATTTAATTTTTTTTTTTTAATTTTTTTTTTTTAACGTTTATTTATTTTTTTGGGACAGAGAGAGACAGAGCATGAACGGGGGAGGGGCAGAGAGAGAGGGAGACACAGAATCGGAAACAGGCTCCAGGCTCCGAGCCACCAGCCCAGAGCCCGACGCGGGGCTCGAGAGATCGTGACCTGGCTGAAGTCGGACGCTTAACCGACTGCGCCACTCAGGCGCCCCAACTATTTAATTCTTTACACTCAGCTCACTCTTCCCCGGCTCTGGTAGTCTACCCCCTTGTGGTTCTAGCTTTTAAGAAACTCAGGCAGCATTCTTGATCCACACCCTATAATTTCTCATCCATTTTGTTTCTAGGGCCCTCTTTGGGACAGACACAGAAGCCCCCATTAAGCAATGCCCTGTTTGTCGGGTTTATATCGAACGCAACGAAGGCTGTGCTCAGATGATGTGCAAGAATTGCAAGCACACGTTTTGCTGGTACTGTCTCCAGAACCTGGATGTAAGTTCCACTCGGAAGTCTTCTCACGTGGTCTTTCTGTATCGGTGTGACCACCGGGACCCTACCGCCTTTCCTTTGGAAACGATGAGCCTCTGTTTGTCCTGTAAAAGACATTTACTGTTCTTAGTGATACTCTCCACTTCAGATGTCTATAAAATCTCTGATTACCTTCACTGTGTCACCTCAACCTTAAAGGCAAGCAAGCTTTTTTGTTTTGTTTTGTTTTAGGGACATTTCCTGTTTTGGGAGCACCGTCTCCTCTTGTTCCAAAAAGAATCATCCGTGTGTTCATTTTACATTGCTGTTGTAACAAATCACCACGAACACAGCGGCTTAAGCAACACAGATTTATTATCTTTACTTCTGGACATCTGACATGGGTCTCACTGGATTAAAATCACAGGGTCTTTAGGGCTGCAATCCTTTCTGGATTCGAGGGAAGAATCCATTTCTTTGCTTTTTCCACTGTCTAGAGCCTGCCTGCGTTCGTTGGCCTGTGGCCCCTTTCCCCGTCTTCAAAGCCAGCCACATCCCATCTGTCCGACCCTTCTTCCAATTCACGGCTCCCTCTGACCACAGCTGGGGAAGCTTCTCTGCCCTTCCAGGCCCTGTGATTAGGTTGGCCACATCTGGGTGACGCAGACTACACTCCCCCACGAAGGTCGTAATGTAATCACATCCGTACAGTCCCTTTTGCCATGTAAGGGCAACATATTCTCAAATTCTGCGGATTAGGCCACGGGCGTCTGTAGGGGAGCCGCCATTCTGCCTACTGTACTTTGGTTGTCTTCTTCTTTCTGAATTTAAAGAAAAAGGCCACTCAAATCCATGAGATGTCTTCAATAACCACTTCATTCACTGCCATGACAGCAGTTTTGCTATTGTTTTGTTAGGGTTGCCTTCCCAGACACAGGGGTCTGCCCCCCTCACTCTGTCCCCTCACCATTCATGAAGCACGTCTTGCCCAATTCGAGTACAGCTCATTCAGTCCCGGGCCAAGGCTAATGGTAACCCCAGAGGTAGAAGGTGATGTGAAGGCTGGATGAGCAGATCTTGCTTCAGTTCTAGCGTTTACTCTAGCACATGTGAGCTACCCCAGATAGGAAGAGATATTCACTGTTTTGGCAATCCAGATGAAGAAGATGCATCCATATCCATGTGAGCCTCTGTCATGTTGGTGAGGGGCAGGGACCTTCTTTTCTCAACTTCTCATTTCGTTGGCTTAGTTTGCTTCAATTCGATCAGCAGTTAGTGTGGGGCTTTAGTGTCACGCACACCCAGCGAGTCCGTGTGCAGTGAATACGGGATGCGTTCCGCCCCCCACATGCCTGGGTTTTAACTGAAAACTAGATAGGTTGTTTCAGACGACATCTGTAAGAATTTTAATCAGCCCGATCTCAGTGTTTCAAGCAGAGGTATAAATTGGGGAAAAGAAAATTGACATTTTAGACTTCAGAAGCTCAGTAGCTCAGGTTGAAAGAAATGTTTCCACTTAAAAAAGAATTCTATTATAACCCCCCGAATTACAATTAAGGGTGGTATTTGAGAGCTGTCATGATTCCAAACGTGAGATGTTCTGAGTGAGGTTCTCACTGACTGCACAGCCCTCATGTTGTACAGAGGGAAGAAATCTTCTCTGTTTTCCTTCAGGTTTAACCAGAATATTAATTGGGTTCATAGCCACAAGGAGGCTGAGCCCATGAGGTTCTTTTTAAGCGGCAAGAATGTAAGGGAATAAATATGTGTGCCAGATCTGTCCATCCTTTGGCTGGAATATGTCTGGGGTATGGCGTTGCAAAAAACACACTGTTCTGTTACTTGGACTGTTCTGACGCTCGAGATGAAATGGTACAGATGTTAAAAGGCTGGATACACAGGCTTCAAATACTGAAGCATCTTTTTCTGGTCATTGTTTCTTGAGATCCCATTTTCTCGGGTTTAGCCAGGGGCATTGGCCTGTTGGTAATGACGTTTTCCCCTCGACAAGTGTTCTGTGTCTGATGGTGGTGTTGATCTTTGTTTGTGGGAAAGTTTCAGAGCAGTGGGTCTGGGAGCAGGATGGTTGTCCGAGAGCCAAGCGTGAGACAGACAGCCACCCAGCGTGGTTTTGAGCTTTACTGGGGTGTTGCGTTTGCTCCTGCCTTCGTCCCCATCCCTGCTGTCTTCAGAGGACGAGGTGTTCTTCATCTTGTGCTGTGGGTACCTCAGAGACCTGTCCCCTTCTGTTACCTCTTCTCTCTCTTGTGACTTCAACTTCCACTAACATCACATATGCAGCTGTGTCCCCTTTGAAAACGAATCACACTTTTCTCAAACCTATGTGTCTCCCATACTCCCATTCTCCCCCAGCCTCCTCTTTGAGCCAGGCCTCAAAACAACATAGTCACCTCTTGTTGTTGACGCTGACTTACCTCCGGGCATTGAAGTACACTCAGCTTGCCACATTGTCACTCCCCAGCTGTATTTTTCTAAGGCCTCGAGTGAAATGCAAGGGATATTTCAGTCCTCATCCTACCTAAACTGTCTGTTTCAGTGATGACACCTCGTCTGGCTTCCCTTCTGCATTTCTGGCCACTTCTCCGTTTCCTTCCCAGGCTCCCCTTGACCCATCCTTTGTGACCCAAATGTTTGTGACCAACATCCTCTTTGCTCTCCAGTCTACACTCTCTCCCGGGTGATCTCATCTACTTCTGTGTTGTTTCCTGCCCCTCCCCCCAACATCTGCCAGTACCTAAGGCCTTCCCCCAAAGTTCAGATCTGTGGAATCAGCTGCCTTTTGGACAGTACCACTTGGATGGCTCAAGTGTCTCTCAAGTTCAGCCTGTCCAAACCGTAGCCGTCATCGTCCCAACAAAGTTCATCTCTCCGTTGTCATTTCTGTTGGCCAGGCTCCTGCTTCTCCCCAGTGCCTTTCCCCTCACCTGTGATTTCTTCTCCTTCTTCCCCCACCTGGTTAGTTACCTTCTCAGTATCTCATGCCTGCATTTCCCACCTCAGCTGCTGGCATTTTTCCTCGCCTGCTCTACTGTGGCCGCCTTCCAGCCGAGGAAGACTGTCCTTCGTTCCATATCGTACCTGCTCTAGAGCTGCCTTTCAAAGAGGATTGGTCAGGACACGGAGCCTTTCAAGACTCAGTCAAGAGTCTCGTTGATTACAATCTCTTTTCACTCAGTGCTTTGTAAAAGTACCGAGATACATCGTAAAGATCGCGGCCTCGGGATTCGGGGAGGCTGTTCATCAGTATCGCCCGAAAGAGCGTTTGCTTCCACCAAGCAAAATATGGTTTGCGTTTGTTAGATCCAGTGTGGTTAGTATTTGTCTCTCAATTCAAAACAGCGTGTTTGCTGAGACCTCTCTCCTTGTTTTTCAGAATGACATTTTCCTCAGGCATTATGACAAAGGGCCGTGTAGGAATAAGCTTGGCCACTCGAGAGCCTCAGTGATGTGGAACCGAACACAGGTACCTTGACCCTTAAGGAAGCACGAGATACACTGGACTTGGGAGGGCTTAGAAAGCCCACCTGTTCTTCCTCCCCACCCTATTGTCTGCTTACACATCCATCCCTGGAGGTTCTGGGGAGCCCCTGAGCAGGGCCAGGGAAAGGGAATGCAGCAAGTGCCTGAAGTTCATGAGCATGACCCCCTTGCAGATAAGTGGAGGGGCAGGGCCCGGAGCAGCTGGGTAATTAACAGCCACCTGCAGAACGAAGGCAGGTCTTCTTTCCTCCCGAAAAAATGGTAGAACGACTTTCCTAAAACCCTCTAAGTCCTACTTTCTATAAAAGGCGGTGCTCTAAAATCCCATGAGCCGCTGCTGGGGCTTAAATCCCTCTGTACCTGCCATTGTGTTTCCGTGGCAGGTTCAAAGGAAGTCCTGGTTTATTTTTAATAGCGTTTCATATTCATTAAAGGCTGTGTTCCTTTTAAAGGTGCCAGTGTTAATAGCCTAGCAATCATTGTTAATATCCCTATGAGACTATTAGGAAACTCAGGGAGAGAGCCAGGGTGCCAAAAGCAACAGTTTGGGGTCACACAGAGCTTTTGCTCAAGTTAATGTCTGTTTTGTTCCCTCCCCTCCGATCTAGTTCTTGCCGCCTCCCTGGTTAGTATCCAGTTCAGATCATGCAGGCCCTGGGCTACAAGGTCCTATGATTGGTAACTGTTTTGCGTGCCTGAGGTGGTGTCTTAGTTCAGGCTCTAGAATAAATTATCATAAACTGGGTGGCTGAAAAAAAATAGAAACGTATTTCTCTCTGTTCTGGAGACTCGAGGCGCCTTTATGGTTGGGTTCTGGTGAGGACCCTCTCTCTTCCTGGTCTGTAGATGGCCTTCCTCTCACTGTGTCCTCACATGGCAGAGAGTGGCGAGAATGGAAGCAAGCTCTCTAATATCTTTTTTTTAGGGCACTAATCTCACCGTGAGGGCTCCACCCTCGTGTCCTAATTACCTCCCAACCACCCTCCTTTCCGGATTCCATTGTATTGGAGATTAGGGTTTCAACATATGAATTCTGGGGCTGAGGGGGAAACACACATTCCGTCTTTAGCGGATGGTACAGTAGACATACAGGAAGATTTGACTGCTGAAGTAGCCTTTTCTTCCACATTTCCAGGTGGTGGGGATTCTGGTGGGATTGGGCATCATCGCCTTGGTGACTTCACCCCTGCTGCTCCTGGCCTCCCCCTGCATCATCTGTTGTGTCTGCAAGTCCTGTCGGGGCAAGAAGAAAAAGCACAGCCCATCCACAACCTAGAGGTCTCTCCTCACGTCCACGTGCCACAGATGTCTGGGGTTCTAATGAGAAGCACAGTGAGAAAGCCCCACTTAGCGCACCTGCCTCCTCCTTGCCAACCTTTGAAAGTGCCTGTGTCCAGACTTTGAACTTGCCTTTGGCACCAAGGCCCAGCCCTGATGCACGTGTTCCCGTGTGAAGAGAACCGGGCTGTGCGGTCTAGGCTGTGTCTGTGGAGCATGTCGGGAAGCTTTGGGGTTGCTGAGAAGGAATGGGTTGCTAACCCATCATCATTTTACCCCCCCAGAGGATCCCACCGGACTGTTTAACTGATGGCCAGATTCAAGGAGCCCGAGTGAACCTGTAGTGTAATAAATGTGTTGTCGCGGTTGGCCACACACATCACAACTGAGCACCAGCGTCCGTCCTGTGTCGATTTGACCACCAGTAGATACGCGGGAGAGACCCCCCTGGGGGAGGGAAAGAATAACACCGTTTAAAAGGAGATTGTTGTAAGAGCTGCAAAGCAGGCTGCTTAGCTCAGGAGTGGGTACTTGGCTTTGGCCTCGGCCAGCCACCGGGTGTGCTGTTGCGGGCATTCCCACGGTGACTTGGCAGAAACACAATGGGTTTCTCCTTGTGTGATCTCAGCTTCCAGCACAAAACTGCTGTGCAGAGGGAGGTGTCTTTTCCCAGTGCGAGGGCTACAGCCTGTAAAACAACGTGGTCTGATGGAGCGGCTCTCCCTGGGCAAGTGCAGCTTGGCGAAGGTGATAGACTCTCCTCCAGCCAGCAGCTGTGGTCTGCAGGATTGTCTGATGTGAAATACGGGTCAAGGGGCAGAGGTTCAAATCCTTCACCGTAGATAACAGAGACCTTTCCTGAGCCCTGCGTTCTTGCGCCCAGCACATTTAGGACTGGACCTGAAAGTCCATAGCAAGAGTGACTATCCAAGTCCCATGTGTACATCTAGAAATCCATATAATTTGCCACCTACCTAGACCCTCCGTCCACTGGGCACGTGCGAGTATTTCCCGTGGTACACACAAAACAAATGTTTCCTCAAAGCCATTTTGTCTTTCCTTCTGGGACTAATACACTTTATTAGAAATCAACCTAATGATTTTTTTTTTTTTTTTTTTGCATATTACATGTGTAAACTTTGGTTGCAAGTTCCTAACTTAACAAAAGGTATAGACTCATAAACCCAACTCTTTTAAAACAACCCTAGCACGGTGTCCTGTCATGTCAGTGTGTAAAAACACTGATAATCAAGCTAGTTACCTATTTTCAAACGCAGTGCAAGCAGCTCTCAACAAAGTTTAATATTGCTCTTGGAAGCCTCTGTTAGGGCAAGCCAGATACTTCCTGTGTGTACAAGGCACTGATCAAACAACAAAAAATGTAAGAAAGAAACTGTAACTGCTTTACGTATCATAAATAGTTTAGGTTGGTATAGCCCCATTGCGACTTAGTTTTCCCGTCATCCGTTAGTCAGATTTTTGAATACACGGGTTTTGAAAAGACAATAACTTTTTCTCCAATGACAGGATGTCATAATTGCCATTAGCAACGTAGTCTGGTGCTTTGTGGGAACATGTAAAGTGCTCCTAGAGAGCTGTCCTTGGAACGAGGGACAGTGCCTTGGGACTGTCTGGACCTATGATGTTTTCCCGAGGTAACTGGGTAACTAGGTTGTTAAATTGCTGCTATCCTGGACCTATTATTAAGGAACGATGCTTTGCCTGTGTAATGGAATGTGTCCTAAGTGGGGATGTGTATATTTAAGGAACTTTGGTTCCCACATACATGTTGATACCTGATATATGTGTAGTTCATCCCTACGTCGTGTACACTTTTATTTACCATTTGTACAGAACATAGATGTGGACTTTCGGAAAACTTTCGAATGGCACCCAACCCAAAGCATTTTTAATCATTTTTATTTGGAAACTTCTCAATGTTAAGCGTCTTTCTTTTCCTTTGAAACTCTGAACATGGCAGAACAAGAATACTCTCTTCGATCAATGTATTCCCTATTAGTATAAATAGAAGTGTACATATATTTGAGTGATTTGCTTTGTCTTAACACTGCCTCATTGTAGCACAGGGCATTTATAACTGCTCAGGGGATCACGGGAACTCAGCTGAAAATGAATTTTTGTATCAAGAGTGTCAGGAGTGGCAGTTTACCCTGGCATGAGCGAACTCTTGAAGCTTCTATTCCGCAAAGAATCTCTAAAACAGGGGCTGATTTCAAGGAACCTAAAATCCTGTGTTATCAGAGGCGGAACTCCTGAATTTGGAGTTAAAGGTAGGAGAGAACATCCATACTGTTGCCTTGGCAAAATTGAAGGAACTTGTTTTCTCACAGAGATACTGTAACAGAAGCAGCTCCTTTTTTTTTTTTTTTTTTTTTTAAATACAAGATAGGGTGTGGGGGGTTGCTTTTTTGAAACAGATTTCAAACAACTGGATTTAAGTTTTTAAATGTTGAAAAGTGCCTGGAAAGTAGTGACTTCCTCCTTAAATAGCTACACGAATAGGCCTGTGTAAGACTGTCAGAATCAACAGGAATAGGTTGGTAGGTTAAACCCAGATACATCGCCGGTGCCTCAAAGGGTGAGTAGCAAGCCAGTCTAGAAACTTTGTTTACAAAGGAGGGAACTGACAACTTAGATAAAGAGACTGATGTTTTTGTTTGGCATAACTGGCCAGTGAGACAGTTTAACCTGTCTCCTTCCTCTGTCCATCAGCTCTGTCTTCCAGGGATTCTCTTTCCAGACTAGGAAGAGATATGGGTCTACGTAACAATGTTTGGACATTGTGGCAAAAATTCTTGTGTTTGGAGTAGTGTAGTTTTTTTGAAATAGGATAAAAACTCCTTCACCCAGTTATAATCTGGATGTAATAACTCCCCATCCGGAAACGCTAGCAGGTGTAAGGGGACAACTAGCTGTTGCCCCTTCTGGGAAGTTTTTTCTTACCCGGTAGGGAGGTGAGGGGGAAAGCCACAGGGAAGCAAATTTTAGAATCCTAGGCATTCTGTTTGTTCACACAATGGGTGTTAGCTCTGGACTTGAAATCTCTATATAGATAAAGAGGCCTTTGAAAAACAAATAATTCACAGTGTGAATTTTCTTGTAGCCTGCATCATGAAAATTTTGCCTATCCAGATTTGCAAAACGTACATGTTTATTTGAATGTAAATCACTGTTTCTTGAAACCCCAAATTGTCTCTTAAAACTTATTCAAAATCTAAATGCGTCTTATTTTACCCTTCTCTACACAGTGCTTGACTTTTGTGTTCGTGAATGGATGCCTTTATGTATATAGACCCATGTATATATGTGCAGCTCTGAAGATAATTTCATAATGCCTTAGATGAATGACATTTTATAAAGCTGTCAAGTTGATACCTATAGACTATTACATCTCATGTTGATTCACGATCCAGAAAGTTTTGTTATGTATTTAAGAAATTGCTGTTGTATTATATTTTTCCGATTATTTGAGAGGAAAATAGCCGTTTCAGTCTCTGTTGCCCCAATAAACGTGGAGCAAGAAAGCAAGTGGTTAACCTTTGTTGTACCGCACGTTTCTAGACACGTTTGATTTTATCCTCCAGGAACCACCAAGCACTATTAAATCCTAGGTTCTGAATTTACAAAAACCACCCAAATCTGTTATACCATTCATGGAAATAAGTCTTGCTACCTTGTTTCTTAAAAGAAACGAGAAGTATAATGCCTTCACTCGTTGCAGACGTTTTTGTTGTATGTGCGATATCCCACACCGTCACTGCATGGGCATTGGTAATTATCCAGAGAAACAACCAATAATTTAGGGCTTTGGTCATTCTAATGAATGCTGCCAGGGATCAAAGTTCTATAAAATGATGGTTGGACTGCCTGCTCTCTGTGGTCCGCTCTCACCTTTCACAAGTCTGTTGGAGGAATGTATCTCCTCGTTATGAATTTTAAAGGATTTACATTAGCGTTAAGTTAAGGTCATTTCCATTTGATTAGTATTCAAGGCAGGACTCACCAAAGGTTGAGTGCTGAAAGTTGGTTAACAACTAGAACTTGTGTTTATGCAAAACCGAAAGCTCACATTCCTGTCTCCTGGGGTTGATGCCTTTCTATTGAACATTGGTTCAATGGTTGTGATTGGATACCTGAGTATAAAGACTTAGGACTGACTTACAATTCAAATTTCACTTTGTAATCATTCACTTTTGAGGAAATCAGTAAGATCATATTAAAAGATTTTTGGGTTATGGTTTCTTTGTTTCCTTAATCATTTCCTAAAATGTCGACATTACTTCATTTTTAAAGTGTCATTGTTTGCTAAACTTGAATTTGTATCCCCAAAGAATTATTGAATGAACCACTTTATACAGCGGTGATTTTAATCAGTGCCCAACCAGCAAACTCATTGCCATGTAAATTATAAGCCTAGTGAATCTGAAGGAGAATTACAATTAGGTTTTTCTGTAATTCGATTATTTTCATTTGTAAGATAATAAATTTATTTTTTTAGACCCCAAAGATGGCATCCAACTCTACATTATGAGCAAGAAATGAATTTCTTCAAATAATTCAATAGCAATTATAATACGATATAGATAGATACATTTTTTACATGTTCCTTAAAGGACTTTTGAAAACAATCCTATGAGATAAATGGAGTAGATATTAGATCCATTTCATCAAGGAAGCAGTGGTTTTATGTTCATGTCTGGTCAAGGGCCACACTACTGATGAGCGGCAGCCAGAAAATGAACGTAAGACTCCCTTGAGATACTTTTGTGCTTTCATTAGTTGGTAATTCTGAGCTTGCCTTCACTCCTGGATCTGTGAGTACCAAGAGAATGAACTGCACCCTCAATTACCTGCCTCTGGAGGTATATGTAAGAGAATTATTTATTAGTTCAAGTAATCACTTAGAGCTTGTGTTTTGGTGTGTCTGACAGCCTGCCTGGGGCAGGTGGCCACCCCTGAGACCAACCCCAGTCACTCCCTGGGGTTTGTGTATCTTGCTAACGTTGGAACTAGAATCACAGGTGGGTCTGTGTACTTACCTCAGATGCCAAAATGTTTGGCTCTTCTCCACAATAGAAAGTATCGTCTCACGGTTTCCTTTAATATTTACAATCAACACCCAACATGGTTGTTATTTCAAATCCAAATTTTTCCCTTTTAACATTACCAGCTTAGGGGCATCTGGGTGGCTCAATTGGTTAAGCATCTGACTCTTGATTTCAACTCAGGTTATGATCTCATGGTTCTTGAGATCAAGCCCCGCATCTGGCTCTTGCTGGCAGCATGGAGGCTCCTTGGGATTCTCTCTCCCTCTCTCTCTCTCTCTGCCCCTCCGCTGCTCTCTCTTTTTCAAAATAAACAAACTTTAACATTGACAGCTTGTGCTATAATGTGTATTTGTGACTTATTAAATCAATCAATTGGCAGTTTTAAAAATGAGAAATGGGGCTCTAAATGATGAACTTATTGACTGAATTTCTGATGTGTCTAAAGTTGTGCTTTGTGGGGCGCCTGGGTGGCGCAGTCGGTTAAGCGTCCGACTTCAGCCAGGTCACGATCTCACGGTCCGTGAGTTCGAGCCCCGCGTCAGGCTCTGGGCTGATGGCTCAGAGCCTGGAGCCTGTTTCCGATTCTGTCTCCCTCTCTCTCTGCCCCTCCCCCGTTCATGCTCTGTCTCTCTCTGTCCCAAAAATAAATAAACGTTGAAAAAAAATTAAAAAAAAAATAAAGTTGTGCTTTGAATTCCATTTTCTGTCTTTATGTTTTTGAATTTTATCAGTATAATTTTATCAGCTTTCCTTTTTTTTTTTTTTTTTTTGTATATTGAAAGTAGAATTCAGGCTTTAGGTGAGAAAGGAATTAAGTCTAATGTTCACCATTTGTAGTTCCCTAATGATCTGGTGTGATTGGAGGGGCAGATTTTCTTTTTGGAGACTACTGATTATTGATCAGTCTGGACTTATTTTTGTGAGGCCAGCCCATTTGTTTAACTAAAAGCAAACAAGTCCAGAAATCCACACACTGCCCTGCATGTTGTGTGTCGCGAATTCCAGCCTGGCCCTGGGACTTTGGTACCACAAGGGCACATGAATGGAGAGTTAGGAGAGGGTTGGCAAATCTGATGTCACCCTGGGCACAGAACAAGCAGGTGGTGTCCTCTCTTCTCCCTGCCCTCTGCCGGTCCAGACAGTGTGGGCTTAGGCGACAGATACCCAGCTTGCAAGAAGATGACTGCAGTTCTAGGCGTCCCTTTGCTCTGGATCGTGGTGTGGTCCGGGGCCAACCATTTATCTACAACGTCATGTCATGTCATGGCTCAGGCATAGAGGGTCGGATGAGATCATGAATGTCAGAGGGACCATTGTTTTTTAGGAGGTGAGTGGAGGGGAGCCATTGCACTGTGTGTGTTATGGCTGTGAGTGTGGGTGACGAGTTTGCGACCAGACACTGTTCCCAAAGGAGAAGACGGGGGCTAATTCATTTCAAGCTTGTGAGTACGTGTTGAGGGAGGAATGGTCTCCTCAGAAAAAAGATGGTCTTTCTAGATTAAAAAAATTCCTTTATGTTGGGGTGCCTGGGTGGCTCAGTCGGTTGAGTGTCCAACTCTTCGGCTCAGGTCATGATCTCATGGTTCATGAGATCGAGCCCCACATTGGGCTCTGTGCTGACAGCACAGAGCCTTCTTGGGATTTTCTCTCTCCTCTCTCTCTGCCCCTCCCCCGCATTCTCTCAAAATAAACAAAAAATGTTAAAAAAATTCCTTTATGTTGCTTTTTCACAAATATTTCACAAACATTTATCTATTTGTATGCTCAATTAAAATGGAGGCTATGTGAAGAGAGGCAGAATTCATATCGACACAATAATTTTTGGCCGAGGGGGGTTACTGTAAAAACTCACATTTACACAATGCCACATGGTATGTAAAGTACTTTATTTATTTTTTTAAGTTTGTTTATTTTTGAGACAGAGTCGGCAGAGGAGGTGCAGAGAGAGATGAAGAGAGAGAATCCCAAGCAGGCTCTGCACTGTCAGCACAGAGCCTGATGCGGGGCTTGAACTCACAAGTCGGGAGATCATGACCTGAGCTGAAACCAAGAGTCAGACGCTTAACCGACTGACCCCCAGGTGCCCCTGCAAAGTACTTTCAAACACATTCTCTTCTGCTCTTTATACTACTCTGGCAAGTACATATTACTTTGGCCCTCCCCCAGGTGACAGATTGGAGGTGAGATTCAGAGTCTAGATGATATAGCACAAGGTCATACGTACAATGGGTTAGTGGCAAAGTTAGAAACATCTTTCATGAGCCAGCCCAGAACCTCTTAGACTTATTTTAATTTTTTTTAAGCGTCTTGAAAGAACACAATAATTAACCTCAGCTTCTGTACACCGGAAGTTTGTCATGATGTGGCTGGTCTCTCTGCTCAGCAACTGGCTGGACTAAAGATCAAGGTATTGGCTGTGTATGTCGTCATTTGGGGCCCGGAGTTCTTTTCCAAGCTCACTGATGGTTGGCAGAACTCAGTTCTTTCTCATGTCTTCCTCGTGGTCCCGTGTACCTTCCAGCCATGTTGAGTGGTCAGAAGTTCAGAAATAGCAGAAGAAAACCAGTGAGTCGCCAAAATAGTAACTACTAAAAGTTTGTTGAGCGCACACCAAAAAGTTTGCAAACCGGGGCACTCGCTGAAACCAAAGCACGGAATGAGGTTATACTGCTGTAAAGCAGCTTTTGGGTGAGAGGGCAGTTACGAATCTTCACAGAGATTGGTTCTCATCTTAGAATTTCTTTACATGAAAATGAATTGGTCAGTGGTTGCCTCATACCAACCTCGGGAGGTAGTTCAAGTTTGCATGTAATTTTCAGAGGTATAGGCAAGAAATGACTCAGGTCAAGTTAGTCTTGCAAAATAAGCTAAATTAAGCTTTGTCTGAATGACTAAACTGGTTTTAAACTGCAATTCAGGGAACTTTCAAGACTGGTCTCTCTTTTTTTATTTTAACAATTCCCCCTGTTGGTCATTCTCTCAGCACGGTGTTAGTCCCTGTTAGCACTGTTGATGTGGTCAGGCTGAAGAATCACACATTCAATGTTTTCATCCAGTTGAGTTGTCAGGCCAAGGGACCACGTAGTCAACATCACCAATTTTGTCCTTATTGTTGATTTCATCCAGTTGTCTGATCCGGACAGATCCAGTTGGCACATGAGTGGCTGTTGACGGATGTTTAAAGCTCTAGAGGGGCACCTAGGTGGCTCAGTTGGTAAAGCATCGACTTCGGCTCAGGTCATGATCTCACGGTCTGTGAGTTCAAGCCCCGCGTTGGGCTCTGTACTGTCGGCTCAGAGCCTGGAGCCTGCTTCGGATTCTGTGTCTCCCTCTCTCTCTGCCCTTCCCTGCTCACACTCTGTCTCTCTCTCTCAAAAATAAATAAAAAACAATGGGGCGCCTGGGTGGCGCAGTCGGTTAAGCGTCGGACTTCAGCCAGGTCACGATCTCGCGGTCCGTGAGTTCGAGCCCCGTGTCGGGCTCTGGGCTGATGGCTCGGAGCCTGGAGCCTGTTTCCGATTCTGTGTCTCCCTCTCTCTGTCTGCCCCTCCCCTGTTCATGCTCTGTCTCCCTCTGTCCCAAAAATAAATAAAAACGTTGAAAAAAAAATTAAAAAAAAATAAATAAAAAACATTAATTAAAAAAAAATTAA